GGGCAGCCAGTGGCCCGAGAGGCACCCACGGGGTCACCCCATCCCTCCTCGCCCTGCACACCCCCTCCTCCCCAGGGACGGCCTCCCGGCGCGGTGCTGGGCTCACCGCGGATCTCCATGGCATCTCCTTCTTCCCCCCTGCTCTCATCTACCACCTGTAAATCCAGTCATGTTACCCTTCGCCTCCGGTGTCGTTATTGCTCTCATTATCCCGTTTGGCTTTGCATGAGGCGCCGCTGCCCGCGGCTCCGGGATGCTTCCCACTCCCCGGGGCCCCCCGTGCCCCGACCATCACTCATCGGGGCATCGGGGGCCCATCGATCACCCAAACAAGTGTTCTGGGGGCAAAACACTAAAATCCTGACCTATGCATACTGCGAAGTGTCTGTAAAAGGAGCAGTGTGGACCCAGGGCTCCCCTGCAAGGGCAGTAAAGGAGAATCCTCTGAAACCAGCCGGCAGCTCTGCGTGGTCTGTTTGCCCCTCCAGCCTCGCCACCGTGGCTGTGGGCTCTGGGCTCCCATTGCCTCCTGTGGCTCTGTGCCATGGGCTGCTGGTCGTGGTGGAACGTGCTGGGGCACAGTGGGTCTGACCGGCTCCTGGCACAGGTGCTTCACCCATGGGCTGGGCCTTGGTGTCCCCACGGTGCTGCAGGGCACAGAGCAGGGCTGCAGGGGTGTCCCCAGGGCTGTCCCCAGGGCTGTCCCGGGCTGGTGGCACAGCTGGCACTGCCAGGAGGTGAGTGTGGGTGCAGCCCCTGGCCAGCAGATCCCTGGTTTTGGGGAGTGAGCCGTGCTGGGACTGTGGGGGCTGTAGAGGCTTTCGAGGCTGAATCTTTCCCATGGGGACAAACCCATCCCTTCCAGCCCCGTCAGTGGGGCTCTGGGCATGGCAGGGACACTCTTCCCTGTGCCCATATGTGCCATTACCACTACTAGTCCAGGGCTGTGCCTGCTGGTCCCGTGGCCTCTGCCCAGTGCAGGCTGTGCCATGGGCTCTCCCCTTTTGGGCAGTGAGGGGCTGTTGTGGGCAGATGGCAGCAGTTTGCTGTGAGGATGAGGGGCTGGAGGGGATCAGGGTGTGCTGGCCCAGCAGCCACCGACAGGGCAGCAGCATTTGGGAGGGACAGCCCCGGCAAACCGGGAAATGTCAGTGCTGCTGCCCGTGCAGGTGGGGGCAGCTCAAGGGTCTGTCCAGTCTGGTGAGCCAAGTGCCACCCTCTGCCCAGGCTGGGGCTCCCTGAGTGTGAGACTCATCCTGTGGCAGCGCCAGGAGCACCGGGCACCACGCTGGGAGTGCCGGAGCTGTCCGGGCCCTTGCGGGACCCCTGTGATGTCCAGGGGCTGGTGAGGTCTCACTGTGCCAGGAGCAGCTGGGCACGTCCACCCTGGCAGCAGCCCTGAGTGGGGAGGCCGGGCTGGCCAGGACAGATGGCGGCGGCTGGGAGGACGTTAATTGCATTGTCCGTCTGCAATTAACCACATCTGTCCCCGCCGGCAGCGGGACGTGGCCGTTGGACGCAGCAGGGCCAGGGAGACTGGGGGGGTCGCAGGCTCAGGAGGGGTCCCCGGGCAGCAATGACATTCCCTGGGGTGTCATGGGCTGCCCAGGGTCACACTGCATTTCACTGCCCCTCCAGGTATTCCCTGTGTCCCCCAGACCTTTCCTGCTCCCCCACACATCCCCTACTCCCCCCACCTTCCCGACCCGACCCTCCTCCCCCCTCCCCAGCCGGTCACCTCTCTCAAAGCTCGTGAGGCCACCAAGAGCCCTCTTCTGGCCCAGGGCTAAGCCCCATGGCCCAGCCCCATGGCCCAGCCCCACATCACCCCCTGACACTGGTGGGGTTCAGCTCTGGTCCCTGGTGAGAGACCCCCCTGCTCCTGGGCCCGACCATGGGACCTGTGTCCACATGACAGAGGAGATCCCACCCCCTACATGCCCTTTCCCACCCCCCCTCAGCCCTGTGCCCCTGGCATGGGGACCCTCCCAGTGTGCCCGGGGTGGTGGGATCCTCCCGCCTTGGCTGGAAAAGGGGCACAGGAGATGGGGACATCCCAAAAACTAAGCTATCTGGTCCCGGGTGCCGTGGGGTGAGCGAGCAACTCCCAACCCAGCACAGTGTCCTTCGTCCATGGACCCTCTCCATTGGCTCGTCCTGTTTGCCCCCTGAGACCCCCGTCCCTCCAAAAGCCCCTTCAGCACCACGTGCTGGGAGTGACCAGGCCAGTGTGTAACCAGGCCAAGCTTGTCATGATGGAAAACTCCATGACATTCCCAATTTTAATGCCCTGCAGTTCATCCCACCCCGCTGCCGTGCGTCTCCGAGCTCACCCTCCTCCCCCCCCCCCCGGCCAAACCCTCCCCCCAGCATTAACGCCGCGGGCCGTGGTGTGTGAGGCCCCGGGTGTCCCCCCGCCCCGTGGTGCCGATCAGCCCTGGAGGGGTCCCTCGCCCCCCGCACATCGGCCGTGGCCAACCGCCCGTCACGGTGTGAGCGGCAGCACCGCCCGTCCTGGCCGCGGTCCGGTGCGCGGGACCCGTGGCCGCCGTCCCAAGCGTGGCCGCGGAAGCCGGCTCGGCTGCCAGCTCCCTGTGCCACCGCCCCGGGCACTGCTGGCTCGGCCCCCGCCGCGCCGGGAACGCTCTGAACAGCTTCTCCACAAAGCCCGACCGGCCTCTCCCACGCCCCCCCCTCGCCGGGGCGCTGAACCTCCTCACGGGCAGGGACCCCGAGACCCCCCCCGGCCGCGCCGCTGGGGCTCGGAGCCCGGGTGCGTTGGCCAAGGGCGGCTCTGCCTCGCTCAGGCACCGGCAATTCTGTGCCCCGTCGGGCTGTGCCGGGTTCACCGGCGTTGGCAGGGCCGGTGGCGCGGTGGGGACAGCGGCGGTGCCGCGTGGGCAGCGCGGGACGGGGACCTGCCTCCCTGCGCGGCACTGTGGAGCTGCTGTCGGGCAGCTCCAGATCCGTTTGTTCCTGCCGTCTTGTCCCCGGGCGAACGGCGCAGCCCGCGGTGTCCGATGCCCGAGCCGGGGCTGGGGGCTGCTCCGGACCCACCCCCAGCGTGCCGGAGCAGGCGCTTGCCGCGCTCAGCACCTCGGTGTCCCGGCGCCGGTTTGGGGTTCGGGGCTCCTCGTGGTCTTTTGGCCCGTCCTCAGGACCGGAGGCGCCGTGTCTGGGACAGGCTGGCAGCGATCGCCGGGGCTTCGTCCTCGGCTCCATCCCCGCCAGCCTGGACTGAGTTTGGGCTGGAAGAGCGTTTCCCACTGCGGATGCTGTTGTCGTCTGCCCACCCGCGGCAGCATCCTCCAGCTCCCCGGGTCCCTGTGCCCAGCCTCTTGCAACGGGACACCGCGGTCCTGCCCTGGGGCTCGGGCTCGCCGCGGGGCACGCGGGATGCTGCTGGTGGCTTGGCCAGCTGGCGAGGGAGCACCGGTGCCAGTGCCGAGGGCTGGTGGCCACACTGAGGGCGTGTCGGGCGAGGGGACCCGGCCGCGGCTGACAGTCCCGGAGCGCCTCCGACGGGACCGAACCCTGCCGGCACTGCGACCACGCGGGACTGCTGCGGCACCGGCACCTGCCTAATGCCGCTTCCCCTCATTCCGGGAATTCCCTACTGCTCCTGCGGGGGTCCCTGACCAGACCCTGCCCGCGGCTCCTTCCGCAGCAGCCGCATCCAACACACCCCCAGTCTGAGGGCGACTGTGTCCCCTTTCCCTCCTGGGGTCCCCAGAGGCATCTCCCCCTCGTTATGCTCGGCCAGGTGACCTGGCTTAATTAATCACCGGGGTTAACGACCAGTTAATTGCAGGGCTCCCTGCGCTCTCGGGAGCAGCATCGCCCTCAGCCTTGGGAGCGGGTGCGGTGGGATCCCTCCCGCCAGCCCCACTCTCCGCAGGGGCGAGGAGCAGCCGCTCCCTGTTCGTGCCCGGTCCCTGTACCCGTGCCGGGGCGTTACTGGGTTTTAGATCTCGGTGTCTCATCCCACATGTTGCAGCAAAGCGCCCGTGCTCGCAGCACCGGAGCCGGCAGTGGCTGGTGTGGGTGTCAGTGCAGCGGATTTTCCACGGATCCGTTTGTCGCGGATCAGTTTTCCATTGTTCAGTTTGCCGTGGGTCAATTTGCCGTGGGTCACTTTGTCGTGGCTTGGTTTGGGCTCAGCCAGGGGCCGGACCGTTGGCTCTGCAGTGCACAGAGCAGGTGTAGGGACACTGGGGGCCAGACGGAGCCCAAGGGGTGGCAGAGTGAGATCTGGGAGCGATCCCGGGTGAAAAAGGGTCGGGAATTTGGGGAGCGCTGCAGGAACGCAGAGGAGCCGGAGCAGAGCCAAACCCCGCAGGTACCGGTGGCGGCTGGAGCGAGGACAGACGTCGGAGGTCTCGGACAGGGGAGCTCTGCCCCGGCTGGTGAGGACGGGCCGTCCCTGGGGAAACACAGCGACACTCCAAGACCTCCGCAGTGGTGTTCCAGGGGGGAAGGTTGTGGAGCCCCGTCCTCTGCCGAGTCCTGGTGTCCCGTCCCCACCGTCCCTCTGCTCTCCCTGCAGATGCACCGCACTGCGGGGGACACCGGGCTCGCCGGGGAGAGCGTGGAGGGGTCATCAGCGGAAGGGGAGGAGATGGAGAGGTACGGGCACCGCCGGGCACCGCCGAGCACGTCGTGTCGGGGCCTGCGAGTGTACCTGGCTGTCTACACCGTGATGGGGCAGCTGGGGGGAACCCGCACCGCCGGGGGGTCTGGGTCGGCGCCGGGATGGGGAGGGCGCGGTTCGGCTTTGCCGGGGAGAGCAGGGTGGGAACGGACACAGCCGGGACGCCCTTGGCAGGGTCTGCTGTGAGTGCGCGGCGAGGCCGGGGCTCGGCGTGGTGTGGGCAGGGGGGGACAGCAGCCACGTCCCCCCCTCTGTATTAGTGTCCCCACTCTTTCCGCAGAGCCCGGCCGCGGTCAGAACGGAGGCTGGAGGTGCAGGAGCAGCTGCTGGCCCTGCGGCACTGGCTGGACGCAGTGGAGAAGCGGCTGCCGACGCTGCCGGAGCCCGGCTCGGCCCCGCAGGTAACGTCTGGCCCTGGGCTGCGGCCGGGTCGCGGGGAGCTGGGCAGGACCAGCTCACGTCTGTACCGAGGCCGGTGAGGTCTTAGTCCCTGGAAGGCAAGAGAGTGCCCGGCCATAGCCGGCTGGGAGACCCTTCGGCACAGCCCCACGGCCGGCTGGGAGACCCCTGGGCTCGTCCACACGAGTCAGGCCGTCCGTCCCCGGCTCCTGCTCCTCGGCCTGACGGTGCCGCTGGCTCGGAGCCCGCGGGCCCCGTCGCCCTACCGGTACCCGCAGCATCACTGCGTCGGAGCCCTGCTGGCCACAGGGTCACCGACTGCCCCGGGCTCAGCTGCGGCTCCGGGCACGACTGCCCGTGCACGGGAGGCGCGGCTGTGAGCGGGGTGTGAGGCCGTGCACGAGGGTTGTGCGGCCCCGCACGGGCTGTGCGGTGCTGCCGGGAGCCGCTGTGCCCCCGCCCGGGCGCGGAGCCGCAGCGGGAGCAGCGCGGTGGGGGCTGCCGGCGGCCCCTCCTCGCCGCCCCGCGCGCAGCCCCTCGCCGGCTCCTTTTGTTCGGGGCCTGGCCGGCACACGGGCTCCCTCGGCACACATGACGGCACAAACTGAAAGGGCCATTCATCCCGGCCCCGGCGCAGACAAAGCCGAGGCCGCGCAGAAACCCACCCGGCTCCCGGGATCTGAGGCTGCGGATTCCAGCCGACCGCTCCCGCCCGGTGCCCCGCGCCGGGCTCCCCTGCCCGGGGCGCCCGTGCCACCCCGAGCCCGGTACCTGGGGCTGCGGAGCGTGCCGGGCGAGCTGCCGGCGGGCAGCAAGGCGGATCGTCACCCCTCGCCCAGGTCCTGCCCGGTGGGTCCCGGCTGGGACCCGTGGGGTGCCGTGGGGTGCCCGGGGTGCCGTGGGGCTCAACCCCACGCTGGGCCGCTCGGTGCCAGCAGTGGAAGGTTCCAGAGCCGGGTGGGGAAGATGGTGCGGAGCCACCACAGGACGGTGTGGAGCCGCCGAGGCCCTGGCAGATGCTAATTCCCGGCAGCGTCTCTGGCAGCAGACAAAGCCCCCGGCCCCGCCGCCCGCCGCTCCCAGGGGACCCCGAGCAGCCCCATCCATCAGCGTGGCCGACGCGCCGGCAGCGGCCCCCCGGCTCCCGGGGCCCAGCGAGGGCCACCCGTGCAGCACCGTGTGGCAGGACCCCCGCCCTGGGGGGCTCTCGCTGGCTGGGGGGGCCGCGGAGCTGGGTCTGGGCAGGGTGGGGAGGGGGTTTACACTGCGGGCAGGAGCAGCTGGCCCCCGGATTCCTTCAGCACCCAGGGTGGCAGCGGGGAGGTGTCCCGGAGCCCCAGGTTTACAGCACCCCGGCTTTCAGGGTGGGCTTCGCCACACCATCTCGGCGGCCCAGCCTGGGCCCCCCAGCTGTGCCTTGCTTCACTGAGCCTCCCCAGCCCAGCCCTGCTTCACTGAGTCCCCCCAGCCTCTGGCTCAGAAGCCCCCGCACCCGCAGAGCCCCGAGGAACGGGCCGAACCCCCGGGTGACCAAGGCATCCACTGCCTGGGGCTGGAGCCGGGGGCCACGGCCGGAGGTCAGTGCTCCCGGGGGTGCAACCCCGGAGCTGGAGGGGCTGTGACACCGCGGGGAGGTGTCGGTGCCGCTGTCGGTGCAGGGGGGGCAGGTGCCGGTGTCGGTACCAGTGTCGGTGCCGGTGTCAGTGTCAGTGCCGGTGTCGGTGCAGGTGTCGGTGCCGGTACCGGTGTCGGTGCTGATGCCGGTGTCGGTGCCGGTGGCAGCTGCTGTAAGTGTCGGGGTTGGTGCAGGGGCAAGTGCTGGTGCCGGGGAAGGTGCTGGTGTCTGTAATGCTGCAGGGACAGGGGCAGGTGCCAGTGCTGGTGCCGGTGCGGGTGGCGGCCGGTGCCGGTGCCGGTGTCAGTGCGGTGGCGGAGCAGGTGCCGGTGCCGGTGGCGGTGCCCGTGCGGGGTGTCGCCCCCCCGGGCGGCGCGGGGTGGGCGGTGGGCCGGCGCCGCCCCTCCCCCGCGGGATGGCTGCGGGGCCCCGGGGGTTTCCCCGGTAACGGCGGCGATCGGCGCCCGGAGGGTTAACGGGGGGGGCGGCGTGTCCGGGGTCAGACCAGCCCCGCCGAGCCGGGCCGGGGCCGGGGCCGGTGCGAAGGTCCTCGCCGGTGCCCCCCGCTCTCTACGCTCCCCCCGCGCCGCGGGCGCGGCGCACAAAGGCGGCGGCGGCGGGGCCGGGGCGGCGGTAACGGGGACCGAGCCACCCCGCTGCCCCCGCCCCGCTCCCTCGCACAGGCCGGGCCCCCCCCCGGCCGGTAACGGCGGCGGCGGCGGCCCCGGCCCGGCCCCATGGACACCCGGAGCCGCGCAGGGGTGAGTGTGGGGCGGGCGTTTCACGCGGGTCCGGGAGCGCGGGGTGCGCGTGGCCGGGCGGGGTCTGTGTCCCCGCAGCACCCCCGAGGCAGGGGCGCGGAGAGGTGTCCCCCCCGAGTCACCCCGCGTCCTGGCCCCCCGACTCGTGCGGTCCCAAGGCACCCCGACACACGGGGGGGGCGATGGGGGTGTGCGATGCCCCGCGGGACTGCACCCGCGGGGGTGCGAGTGTCGGGACCCCGCCGTGGGTGTGAGTGTGTGCGGGGACCGCGCGCGGGGCCCGTGCCCGTGGCGCGTTTCACGGCGTGTCGGGCCGCGCGTGGGGGCTCGGTGCCCACGGCCGGGACGCCCCGGGGCACACGGCCAGGGCGGGTGCGCGTGGGTGCACGTGCGCTCCCCACGCGTGTGCGGGGCTGCCACAGGTGTGTTTCATGTCACGGTTCACCAAGGCGCGGGGGTCCTGCCGCTGCCCCCCGCACGGGAGCGCGGGGTCTGCATGTCGGGGTGTGCGCACACACGTGTGAGTGTGTGCGTGTACACACGTGTGTGTGCATATGTGTGGGAGTGTGTGTGCGTGTACACGCGTGTGGGGGGGTGTGTTTACACACGTGCACAGGGGCGTGTGCCCGGGGCCGAGCCGGAGGGCCGGGGACCGGGAGCGCTGCGGCTGCGGCAGGGGGGGCTGGCAGGGGGGCTGCCGGGGGAGGGTCCTGCCGGGTCACGCTGGGGGATTTATGGCTGCGGCAGTGCTGGCAGGGTGGGAGGCCACCTGCCCGTCCTCTGCCTGTCCCCCGCCTGCCCCCTGCCTGCCTGCCGGCCGGTGGGTGCCCCCGGCCGCCCCCGACCACTCCCAGCCCCCCGTTCCCCCGGACAGATGCTCCTCTCTCCCGGCTCCGCCGCCCTCGTTAATCCAACGGCACAAGGCGACGCAGGGCGGGAGCATCTGCCTGTCCCCGGTGCCTGGCGCTGCCGCCACTGCCGCGTCTGCTGCCGAGACGCACAGGACGGGCACCCCGGGCACTGCCTGGCGGGGTCTCCTCCCTCCGCCGGGCCCCAGTGACGGTCAGCGTCCCGTCCCTCCTTCCCTGTGCCCCGGCTCTCGGCAGCCCTTTGCTGCGGGGCCAGAACGCCCCGGCGCCGGAGCGGGAGGTCAGGCAGACCCGGCAGCGCGGGGGGCGGGAGGGGTGACCCGGGCCCCGCGGTGGCCCCGGCAACGCGCGTCCCCTGGCTCGTTGCAGGCCGGGATTTGAGGCGGGGGCCCGGCGCCCGCGCCATGGGGAACTCGGTGAGCCGGCCCAGCTGCCTGGGCGAGAAGAGCCGGCGGCCGGAGGAGCTCCTGCGGGAGCCGCCGTGCCGGGAGCCGGGGCTGGATGAGGGGCAGCCGGCCGCTGGAGGCGTCACGGAGGCCTGGCCGGGGCTGCCGGAGAAGGCGCCGGTGCCGGTGGAGAACGGCTGGAGCCCGGTGCCCGGTGCCGTTCGGAGCCGGCCGGGCAGCCCGGTGCTGAGGCGCAGCCAGTCCGAGGTGGCGGTGCAGAACGGGGGCACGGCCGGCGTTCCGGTGAAGGGGCAGGCGGGGGGCGCAGCCTGGACGCCCCCCCGGGCCAGCGTCCCCCGCAGCACCTGGTCCTGGAAACCTGTCACCACGCGGGAAGTGACGGAGGTGACGGAGGTGACCGAGACCATCGTGACGGAGATCGTGGAAGTGACCGAGTATCCGGCGGGAGAAAAGGGCGGCGAGCCCGTGGTCACCCGGACGGTCACCGTGCTGACGGAGCGTGTGGGGGAGCTCGCTGCCGCCGGCGGCGCCGGACATGCGGATGCCACCGAGGTGACTGCCGGGCAGGGACCCCCGCCGGGAGGACGCTGTGCCAACCCCGCGCCACGGGGCTGCCCTCTGGCACGGGTCTCTCGGCAGCGACTCTTGGCCTTCCTCTCCCATGGCCGGGGCTCGTGCGGGGTCACCGAGGTCTGTGCCCTGGTGCTGGTGGCACCCCCAGTGCTGGACACCCAGCCCGGTGCCATAGGACAGGGAGCTCCCTCTTCTCGCGGCTGGCGAGGATCGCGTGTCCAGAGGGGTCCAAACGATGCGCGGCGCGCAGCCCCTGCTTTGGAGAGCCCAGCGAGGGACGCCGGGGAGGACCCCATGGGCTGGGCAGGGTCCCACCGTCCCCGGCGTCACCTCCCGGGCAGGGCACGGTGTGGGGTCGCAGCCCAGCCCCACTGCCCGCCCACCTGGGCGGCTCAGCCACCTCTCCCCCCACAGGTGCCCCCGCGGGCCGTCCCTGTCCCAGAGGAGGTGGCAGGCGCGGAGCGGGGCCAGGAGACGCTGGAGCGGCTGCTGGCCTGGGTGGCCGACATGGAGGAGCTGGTGAGCAACCAGAAGCCGCCGTCGGCGGAGGCGAAGGTGGCGAAGGCGCAGCTGGAGGAGCAGAAGGTCAGCAGGGCCGGCCGGCGCGTCCCGCCCACGCGCTCCGGCCGGGGATTAGGGGGCCGGGGTTGGAGCCGCTGCCCGGGGCTGTGCCAAGGCCGCGGGGGCGGGCGGGGTCCCCGGCCCAGCGCGGTGCCCCCCCTGCCTTGCAGCTCCTGAAGCGGCTGCTGGAGGAGCGGAGGCCGCGCGTGGAGCTCGTCCTGCAGGACAGACCGACGGCGCACGGCTCCGGCACGGCGGCACCCGAGGGCGGTGCCAGCCTCTCCGACCTCGGGGAGAGGTGGGACAAGCTGATGCAGGAGGCTGAGGCCAGGTGGGTCAGGGTCCAGGCTCTTGTCACCAGGCAGGCACAGGCTCTGGCCACTGGTGTCCTCACAAGCCGTGTCACCACGACACCCCGATGTCCTTGTGTGCCCTGCCCCACTGGCATCGGGGCCACCACAGCAGAGGAACCATCCCCATCCCACGTGCCAGGGCTGCACAGGGGCAGCGGGTCTGAGGCTCTGCAGCCAGTCTTGCATGAGGCCCTTCCTGCAGGTCCCTGTCTGGGGACACTGGCCTTGCCGTGTCCCTCTCCTTGGGAGTCCCAGGGCATGGGGACCCTGGTGTGGGGGAGAGGGGGCTTTCCTGGCTGGGACCTTGGCCTCGGAGACTGTCAGCCCCGGGCTCACCCAGCCCTCCCGACACAGGTACGGTCACCTGGAGCGGATCCTGCCGGCAGCTCAGGGCTTCCAGGAGGCCGTGGATGCCTTCCAGGAGTGGCTCAGTGCCACGGAGCGACAGCTGGCCCAGCTCTGGCGCACCGATGGCTGCGTTGGCCGCGTGCAGGATGCCCACCGGCAGACCCAGGTGGGGCCAGGGTGGGCACGGGGTGGGCACGGGGTGAGCTCCTGTATCTTTGTCGGTCACTGCCACGGGAGCTTCTTGCCCAGGCCCTCTGTGAGGAGATCCGTGGGCGGCTGGGAGAGCTGGACAGTGCCCTGGAGAGAGGGCAGCGGGTCCTGGAGATGGTGACAGGTGAGTGGTGATGGCCAGGAGTGGCGGCCACGGGGTTGGGACTGCGGGGTGTGGGATGAGATGAGCACAGAGTGCGGCAGCCCAGCCCAAGGATGGCACCCCTGGGCACTGGGGGTCCTTGGAATGTGCTGCTCCCCACCGGGGGCTGTGGGGTGGTGTGAAGGGGCACAGCATCCCATGGGATGGAGAGAGGCCAGGGCAGAGCCTGGGGGTCAAGGCCGTGGTGGGACAGGGTGCAGAGATGATGAGGGGAAGCTGGGAAGGTAGATTTTGCTGGCAGTGGGATAAGGGGCCAGATCCAGCTCTGGGAGCAGCAGGAGAGGAGAAAGGTCAGGACAGAGTGACCATCACAGCGATGGAAGCTGTTGGTCTGGCTGATCCCACGCCTGGGAATGCTGGCACAGAGGCTCTGATGCCGGTGTGGTGTGGCCGCAGGGGAGGAGGCCCAGCTGGTGCAGGAGAAGATGGAGTCGCTGAGGATGCGGTACCTCATCGTGGGCCAGAGCAGCACCGACACCGCACACCGGCTGGGGCAGACCCTGGAGGCCTCGTCCCGCCTGGGCACAGCCCCTGAGGACCTGGCGCTGTGGCTGGGCCGCATGGAGAAGGAGCTGGGCAAGCGGGAGAACCAGGATGACGGCCAGGAGCCCCCAGTCAGCACCGGTGACAGGGAGAAGGTGTGGGACGTGGCACTTCGGGGACTGTCACCCTCTGCCTCCCTTTACCATTCCTGGCATCTCTCTGCAGCGAGAGGTGGTGGAGTTGGGTCTGGGTGGGATACTCTGGGTTGTGGGAGACAGTCCTGTGGGACTGTGACAATGTTGAGTCTCTGTCCTGGAGCGGCCGCCCCGGTGTGTGCCCACTCTGCCCGGCTGACATCTGCCCCTCTGCCATAGTTTGAGCAGGTGCTGGAGTCCCAGCTTGCCCGTGTGACCGGGCTGGGCAAGCGGCTGGAGGAGATCGGCCGCGTGCAGCTGGACTCTGAGGCTCTCGGCTCGCAGCTCTCCGAGCAGAAGGTGGGTCCGCAGCGGTGCCCAGGGGTCCCAGGGGACACCAGCTCGGCGTCCCCATTCCGCTGGGCCCTGCACTGACCCCCAGGACCTGGCACCCACCCGCTGCTCCGTTCCAGCTGCTCTCTGCTGAGGTCCTGCACTGCCGGGGCCTGGTTGAGCGTCTGCTGGGGATCTCAGACCCACTGCTGCGCTGCTGCCCCGAGCCCCTGCGGCAGCGCCTCCAGGTCAGTCGGGGGGGTTGCCAGAGGGGACGCTGCCAGCGCTTGGGGATGGCCGTGCCCCACACCCCCAGCCATCCAGTGACCCCCCCGTCCCCACAGCCGTCGGTGCAGGCGCTGCGGGAGCGCACGGAGCAGCTGTCCCTGCGCAGCGGCGCCTGTGCCGTGCAGCTGGAGCACGCCCAGTCCCTGCTCACCCAGTTCTCCGAGGCACTCGAGGAGCTGCTGCCCTGGCTGGAGGAGACGCAGGCCCTGGGGGTGCAGCTCTCCCCCAACGCCATCAGCTACGAGGCCTTCAAGGAGCAGCAGGCGCTGCTGCAGGTGCAGGCGGGGACGGGGGCAGGGACACGGAGGGACGTGCTCGGCTGTCCCGCGGGGTTGGGAGTGGGGAGGTGATGGGATGAGGCGGCATCACCGGGGGGCCCACCGAGCTGGGGCACCCGATGGGCATCAGCCCGCTGGGAGCAGCGCCAGGGTGCACCGGCACATGGCCCCGTGGGATGAACCCCCGTGGGATGAACCCCCGTGGGGCACGTGCCACCCCCAGCGTGGCCCCACGGCTGCCCCTCGCCCCCAGAGCCTGCGGGAGGCCATCGCCGAGCACCGGCCGCTGGTGGGGAAGCTTCAGCGCGTGTCAGCACAGCTGGTGGAGCTGAGCCCGGAGCAGGGAGCCCCGTTCCAGCGGCGCTGGCAGGAGGCCGAGGAGCAGTACGGCTGCATCCGCGAGTGCGTGCGCCAGGCAGCGGCTCTGCTGGAGGACGCCCTGCCGCGATACAGCCAGGTACGGGGCTGGCACCGGGGGCGGGGGCGTCCCCAGGGGCGTCCCCTCGAGTGACTGGGCCGGTCCTCAGCTGACAGAGCGCATGGACCTTCTGCTGGAGTGCCTGGAGCGGCTGCAGAGCCGGCTGCAGAGCCAGCCCCCCGTCCGCGGGGACGCAGCCCACCTGCGGGAGCAGATCCGGGAGAACAGCCTGGCCCTGGGCGAGCTGGAGAAGCTGGGGGTGGCCCTGGAGGGCGTCCAGGCGCAGGGCGGAGAGCTGCTGGCCACCATGAAGGCAGTCGGCTCCGACGCCGTGGCCAGAGGTATCGGCACAGAGGGGTGGGCACGGCCCTGCCGGCAGGTCTGTGTCCCTGTCGGGGCTGTGTGGGGGTGCCGGGTCCCTCAGAGCCCTCTGATCCCTGCCCCCCGTGCCCGCAGGGATCCAGGAGCGCACGGAGCAGCTGCTGGCACAGTGGGGGTCCCTGCGGGGCCGCTGTCAGGAGCAGGAGCGGTGGCTGCGGGAGCTGCTGGCGCTGGCCGAGCGCTTCTGGCACGGCCTGTCCGAGCTGGCCCTGGCACTCAGTGACACCCAGCAGCTGGTGCTGGGGCTGGAGGAGGCCGGCGGGGAGCCCGAGGCCATCCGCACGCGGCTGCGCACCATGCAGGTACGACTGGGGCGGGGGCCTGGGGGGCAGCGCCGGGGCCTGGGCAGCCCCCCAGCACGGGCAGCCCTGACCCCCGTGCCACGTGCAGGCGCTGCGGGAGGAGATCGATGCCCTGCAGGGTGAGCTGGACACGCTGGGCAGCCTGGGTGTGGAGCTGATGGCCTCCTGTGGAGACCCTGACAAGCCCGATGTCACCAAGAGCCTGGACGATGTGAGTGTCCCTGGGGTTGGGTTCGGTGAGGGACGGGGTCCTGGAGCTGTGGGGATGGGGTGTCCCCTGACCCTGGGCAGTGCCACTGACCCCTGCTCTCCAGACCCCTGCACAACACCACTGACCTTCACACCCAGGCCCCTGTGCAGTGTCACTGACCCCTGTGCTTGGACACCTGTGTGGTGCCACCCCAGTACCCCAGATCCCATACTCTGACCCCCCTTTGGCACCACTGACCCTGTACCCTGTCCCCCCATGCCCTGTCCCCCGTGGCACTGCTGATGCCACACCCTGTCCCCCCATGCCCTGTCCCCCCATGGCACTGCTGACTGTGCCTTGTCCCCCCATGCCCTGTTCCCCCCATGGCACCGCTGACCCCACACCCTGTCCCCCCACACCCTGTCGCCCCCTGTGGCACTTCTGACCCCGTGCCCTGTCCCCCCATGCCCTGTCCCCCCTGTGGCACTGCTGACCC